TTTCTTCTTAGTGAGATACACTTATCTGTGGAACAAGCTACCCGTACAGATACGCATGTGTACAAGCCATGTCACGTTTCGAAATCTCCTTCAGACCTTCCTCACTATACCAAATGCTTTGAAGGTATTTGACTCACAGCAAACAGTAGAAACATTGACAGAATTTGGTATAAAAAACATATGAGAAGATAATCGCTTACAGCTAGCTTACCCACTACATGTCATTACATACCATACAAAACCCTGTGTCTTTGCAGCCCAGCAGTCCCTTCCTTTATTATCTACTCCTGACGATACAAACATCCGTAAATGTTACATATGAGTTGCGCTGGTCTAGGACTCAAGGAAAAGTAATCATGATCCGAAATGCAATCAAGAAATTTTTCTTTAATGCTATGAAACGTATTCACTATACAAATGATCGCTCCCACTTATGGGGCCGTGTACCGTCTGTCGGAAATATACAAGTTTATTTATTTTTATTTATCAGTAGACGGCGATAACTTCTGCTGCGCACTCGTGTGCTTTTCCGTCACAATCATATTGTGGATGAAGCAAGCCCAAACGTATTACAAAGTAATTAGTGTTTCTTTTGTATACCATTCCAAACCAGATAGCACTGCACACGTCCGGAAAAGCACTAAATGTTCTTTTCCTCCTGTCGGCGCTGGTCAGCAGTTCGCACTCATCAGCTTGTAGCACAAATCGCTATTAGTCATGGGTTCGCATTCGGATGGAGCCGATGGACACGCAATGCTGATAAGTCCCGACAGGAAGAAACGGCCGGTTGATGATTTTCTCGTCGTGTTGAGTATTATCTGATTTGGAGTCGGCTTTGAAGAAGCACTAATTACTTGCAGCAAATCCCCTACTCATTATTCTAATTCAGAAGCTTGTACCTCAGACTCACCTTCAACAATAAAGCGAGCATCCAACATTGAACGTCTTGTATTATTCGCAATGCCTACAAAATGAACCTTATTACCATCTGGTACTGTGATTTCTAGCATCAATAAAACTCAGCCTTTGAAAAAGGACAAGAGGTGTTCAATCGCACACCAGATGTATTAACACACGTAAAGGGTAATAGTTATTGTCCACGTGGAAGAGGTATATGTACACTAGAGGAGGTGGTCAGTAGACAGGGTTCTGGCAAGTAAGGCAACAATGGTGGGACTGTGCCCCTCGTAAGTGGCTATAAGGGAAGCAACCCATTTTGGTAAAATAGAACGGCATTGCTTTCTGTATCTAGGTGTACACAAATCAGAGCGTCTGTGCTCTTTAGATCTGGATAATAAATAAACAGTTAAGATGTCAACAATGTGGGAAGCAAATGGAAAACAAACATGCGGTAGGAAGAAGGTGGATAGATCTAGTAGACTGCGGGCTTATGTCCACGCGCCGCCAACGTGACATGGTAATGTGGCGTGGTGGACCGCCTTGAGTCCGCGCAGTAGGTATAAAGTGGGTAGAGGTGAATACACATATCCAACCCCCGGATACCTGACCGAGAGTCAGCTAGCCCGTATTCGGAATAGTGAAGCGGTTAAAAGTCTGCGTCCCAACCGGAAAGTTCATCTGGTGCGTTTTCCATGCGATCCGGATACTTGTCAAAGTTAGAGACGTCACACGGGCCAGATATCTGTAAGCAATTACAGAAGTAATAACGGACAGTCTGTCACCCGAACGAGAGGAAAACGTATGAGATTGTAGAGACGACACAATTAGTCAGTTCAAGCCAATGGTGGATGTGGGTGTATCATGTGCTGCATGGGTTTCTGCCGCTACTTCGGTCATTTTAGGTACACAACAACTAATAAGTAATAATAACCTGCTATATCGACGCTGCGACACACGCATGCTTTTATGGAGAGTTGATCACAGATGGAATATACAAATTAATATCAGATCGGATAATGACTTTTTGAAGTACATACATGACACCAACTCGCTGACTGGTATGAATCGATGTTCGATAAACTTCAATCTCGCTCCCACATGGTTGGTCGGCAGCATCTGGATCCAGATTTCACTGTCGCTGAGGCGTCCACAGGACAGCCGCGGTATGCCTGCGCCAATAGAGAGACCATGAGTGGCTAGCGTTGCACCACCAACAGCTCCAACCACACACCACATATCAAGTGTAAAACCGAAGGAATAAACCCGGGAGGCATGTGGATGGGAGCCACGGTTCATCAATTGAGCCAGCTTGCTATCCTTCAAACTACACAGCAGCAGCAGCAGCAGCAGCAGCAGCAGCAGCAGCAGCAGCAGCAGCAGCAGCAGCAGCAGCAGCAGCAGCAGCAGCAGCAGCAGCAGCAGCAGCAGCAGCAGCAGCAGCAGCAGCAGCAGCAGCAGCAGCAGCAGCAGCAGCAGCAGCAGCAGCAGCAGCAGCAGCAGCAGCAGCATTCCTGTCTATATGGGTATCGTGTGTATCAGAGTTACACAAGGCGGTGGCTGGGCCGTAGTACGCTACACATTGGATGCAACCACTATTTGAGCCTAGCATGGTCACGAGGACTTTGCATGCTTTTTTCCAGGAAAGATTCATAGTCTTCTGGAGCCAGTAATCGAGATGTAGGCTGTTAGACAGGCACCTTACCAATATTCACACCAAGCGCAGCCACACGGGAATATCAAACAACCAACATAAAATTTGTAGGAAAATATGTGCGCTAACTTAACCCGGAATATTCAGCAGAATCATGGAAAACTGAGCAAAGCAAGTAGTGTGATTTTTCTATCCAGCTTAAGAAGGGTAAGTCGGTGTAGCGCAACTGCGGTGAAGAAACATGATGTGTTTAACATCAACCTCGACATGAGGCACCGTCGCCTACAAACATAAGAGAGGATGGTAGGGAACTAATTACTGGGTCATGTGAAACCTGGACCCTGCTCATACTCTTTCTTTCTTGGTATCGAAAAGCAGAATAGTTTGATTACGTTCTGTACAGTTAATAAGTTGTTGACGTTTTTGCGAAATTTGTACTCGAGAGTGCAGGAAAATACTGTGGCTGGTTCTTTGTTCCCGATTTTAGAATACCCTTTAAGGGAAATTTCCGCAGACTTGCATTCTCCAACTCAGTTCTCTTGGTTCCGTGTACTGTAAAGGTTTGATTATGTTGATGCCATGTTTAGGTTAGAAATGTGTAGTTTTTATGCAAGATGTTGAAAAATATGACCGGCTTTTGATTCATGCGCCGTGGCCAGAGCGGATCAAGTTTGACCTTATCACATCGTTCAGAATTTCCCGGTTATGACGAAGCACGTAAAAGACGCTTTGTGAAAGCGTTCTGCACTTATTCAATTGCACTGCGGTTCCACTATTTTGAACCTATGTACATCATTAAACGCTAAGCCGACTTTTGATTTAGTAAGTGAGAAACAGACTTTAGCAGAAAAAGTCGTAACTATAAATTCAACGCTCTGCCTTGCATTCACGGTTACATAAGCTACTTGTTAACAGAAGTCAAGTAGACATGCATATCACAGTCTCAGTTTCTGTATTCTACCACAGATTAATTGGTTATCCGTGAAGAGTTAAATCGTACACGTAATATCTTGCACTGTATTCCTTTGTGTAGAAAGACATTTTCCACTTTCAGCAACAACTTTCAAGCAAATGGAGGTCGATTTGCATCAGGTTGCTGGTATCATTGGAGGAATGTAGCGTACCGGAAATGACGCTCTTTCAGTAATTAGCAACATTGGATTTTACCGTTGTTTTAGCCTTCAAAACGTCCACTTGTTTTACTGACAGCACTTCCGTTGACACAAAAGCGTTTTGGTGAGTATCATGCTTCACCGTTTCTTGCTCCGGTTGATTTGCTTTCTTATTTTTGTAGCCTGCACATTACATGTTGGGTTCAGTCGCCCCCAACTTCCATAATGTCCAGTATCTGACGCGTCTCTCACATGTCCTTGATTACCGACTAGTATCCCAGGCGCCATTTAACAGGCATCCGGACGGAAATCTTTTACGATTTTGATTTCATTGGGAAACCGTTATGGTGTACCGAATTTGACTATGTCGAAGATATCGTTTAAATATAGTAAGAATGGTAGTCCATCGCAATGAGGCTGGACCTTACCGTGCTGCGGTGGTTTGTGTGCCTCAGCGATCCATTGAGCTATGCTGGGTTGTGCTTTTTTACACCTTCAGAGACATACAAAATTGGTCAGTGGTGAGAGGCCAGACAAACTCAGCTTCCTTGTCCTCCAGGTTGGGGGTTGGAATGAGGTGGCTCCTTACTCCTTAAAATGGACTCCTTGTAGCCCAACGCCAAACCTGTTATCTTGCGGCCAGGTTTTTGAACAAAAAGCTTTGGTTGAGAACCCTAATTGTTTTTCTATCTAGGACTGGGAACCCTGACATTATCCTGCCCACGCAATACAATGAATTGCTCTTCAAACAGTTACTTGATGCTCTGGCCACCGCAGAGGATAATCAACAGTGCCCTATCTGCTGCATCGAGCAAGGTGGATAGGGGTATGGATGCTTCTGCTCAAGCCATCCCTCTTTTTATTCCTCCTTCTACGCCTTTTCTCTCTTACCGTTTCATTCCAGCTTCACCTTTATCCCCGTGATTTTACCCCCCAACTTTTTGCTCCCCACCTTGCTTTGCTAGGCATCTACATTTTATACCTTTTTACACGCATATTAGTGTATTGTACCAAGCTTTTAGCGTGGTTCATTTTCGAAATAGCGTGCGGTACTTTCAAGTTAGCGAGGCGGAGAACGCTGATTTGGCTTCCTTGACACTCTCATTGGTTATGGGACGTAAACCAATGGGACTTCGGTTAGAAGCTGCCAGCATACGCGACAGACAGTCCAATGAACGTGGTCGAGCACCACCTTCCGTTCTGCCCTGATGCCCCGCTGGAGTAAACCTCGATGATTGGTCTCCAACCTGAAAGCTTTATTGATATTGTCTAACTTTGGCAGCGAAGATTTTTTGAGTTCTATACTTTGTGTCCAAACCCCATATTCCTCATAACCTTGGCAGCCCACCATTTACTGGTTCCGATCCAATGAAGATCTACAACGTGGTTCTTCGCGGCATTGAAGCTGTTGAATTTCCAGTGGCCCTAATCAACCGGACGGCGATCGCCTTGATTAAACGACTTTGCGCTCAAAACCCCGCGCATCGTCTGGGCTACGGGTTTGGTGGAGTCATCGACATCAAGCAGAATAAGTAAGCTCTGGTTTATGTTCCACTCAAACCACTAAAGCATGATGAACTAAATGTGGTATTTAGATGATGAAATTGCATGTTACGGGTGGCGAATTACAAGAAACAGATATGTTATTACTATAATGCTTGCGTCTACCTGGTGTTGGAGTACCAGAAACGGCTAACATGACATGTTTCTACGATGCGAGTAAAGTGAGCGACGTATCGCCGAGTAGTTACCAAAGTATTCATTCTTATTTGTAATTGACCTGTGGTGCATGAATGTACGGCCTCTCAATGTTGTAACTTTCTGCCTTTATGAAGTACGTCAACTAACGTAAACTTTTGTATAGTATTACTCTGTCAGTGAGCAGATTATAGGGTACTCTTAAACGTATTGCTGCAACCATTCAGATAGGCACATCGGCCTACTCACTATCTAACAGCAAAAGGCTTTGACCCTCAGAATGACCCGTTTACAATTGAGTGCTGGTTTAATGCCTTCTCAGTTTTGTTGAATATGATTAGACATGTCCTCCATAGAAGAGCAATTTGCTAGCGGTCTTGTGGGTAACTTTTACTCAGTGCGTTTACCCATAGGTAAAAATATTACCGTCGTTTTGTCTTCCACGGTCGTTCAAATTCTGCGGCTAAGTGATTTCTGTTGGGGCCAAATTCCATCCCACAATCAGCAACATCGTAATAACTGCTACTTCTGGGATTGTTCGGAGGCGAAGTTTTATCATGAGGTTAATCAGCGCGATTTTCTGTTGAAAATCCGTCGCAGCTAGACTGAAGTAGACAGCCAACACACATTCAGGAAAGCGCTAGACGGCCGTTTAGTTTTATTGGGACTCATCAGGAACATGCACCGGATTCGAACCCACGACCTTACTATTCCAGGTCAGCGACTTATGCCACTGAGCCACTGGCGCCGGAAGCGGACTTCCTTGACTGATGTCTAACTGCGATATAGCGCGGATCATTCTCCACTGTCATGCATCTTATGAAGGTGGAGAGGACAGGGCTGGCCTCGCCGAGCCACGACTTCCTTTACAAGCCGCCACCAATCGAGTTGGTATCTAAGTTGCTTAGACCAATACTGATAATTAGTGAGTAGTAAGGGAATTTGTTGGGTTTTCAAATGACAACTATGGAGCCAGCAAAACTGAACTCGCAAATTATCCGTCTGTTAGAAAGCTGACCAGGTTTCCTATGATAACTGACAATTCCATTTGCGATTATTCCTTCTAGATATTTTCAGGGCTTCGACTGGATTGGTCTGCACCTGGGAACTTTGATCGCACCAATTAAACCAGCGGTGAGTCACGGCACACTGAACGTAACTTGCGAGCTCTTTTGTGAAACGGCCATGCAGACAATTGGTAAAGGTTTGTTACCCAAATTCTCCCCATTTGTGCAATAAATGACCGGCACCGATTAACAACGACTGCTCCGCCTTAATTATTTGTTGCAATCTCTCAGAATACCGGTTTTTAGACACGTTCAAACATGGATTGAACGATAGCTTCTTACCAACATATTTGTTAGCAGTGGGCAAACAAGTATCTTACTTGTAATACGGTCTTCATTTACAAATATACGACGTAATCCAGTCGCCTCAAGGTTATATGGACTGACGATCTTGAACATTTATCTTCCAATGTTAAGAAAATATGCGACATGAGTCTAAACCAGGTACAGAACGGCTGCACAAGCGATTTGTTCGGTTTACCAAGCTTAGGTACATTAATTGGAATGGGAGGTCCTTAACGCGTTCTCCTTCATACAGAAAGCCAATGCTTAAACTGTCTGATGTTTACTCGTGAGTAGGGAACTTTGCTGTTGTATTGAGCAATCCTTACAATATGGCAAATGCTATGGGACTCAAACTCCGGTCCACCCTAACGCGAGCCTACACGACCGCCTAGTTGCGACTCATGCATACCACACGAGGACTTGTTCTTCATAATCGTCAGAGCATCTCGGTAGGTAGTCCGGTCTCTCCCGTTGTTTCTCGGTTCACCTGCAGTTGCGGTGGCATATACATAGGCGGAAGTAACCGTCAGTTAGCTCAGTAGCCGTACATTTAGCGCATTTCCGGATTTTTGGTTGACCTACCTAGTTTGTAATCTAATTGGAATGCACTGAATAAAACAAAGACTTGTTGGTAAATAGGATGAACTGATGTGGAGCACTGTGATGCGTGCGTCTGAATCATGATAAGCAAGGCGATTTCATTTAATGGTGTGGTTGGCTGTAAACAACGTAACCGATTCCCAGTCTGTATGATCCTTTATTTGCTCCAACTATATGTGACACAATGTTTAACATGGAATATAACTAAAGGCAACCATCGCTGTTATATCGTTTACATATAACTCCGAGGCTGCTACTGGGACAATAGTGTACTTATGCTTGTTGTCGCCCTGTTATCTTGGCATGTTAGCAGAAAAACGCACCGTTGCTATTATATGAGGGATGTTCGAAAAGAAACGGAAATTTTGAAATAGTGCGCCAACTTGAAGAGGGAGCGCGCTGAGGCGAATGAGCGCATGTGGAGGCTTGTTTAGACAACAAACTGCCATTTGCCGCATTTCGCTCTGACTGTTGGTTGTCCAGTTGCAGCCGCTGAAGTGAGCATGTGCATAAGATGTTTGTCGGATTAGTGCCAAAGAAACAATGAAAGATCTTGAAGAACAACGTGTGCATGCGAAAGTTTGCTACACACTTGACAAAACTTTTGCGGATACATTTCAGCTGTTTCACCAAGCATACGGGGAGGACTGTATGAGTCTCACGCAGTGCCATATGTGGTTAAGTGTTTTGAACACAGCAGTATGTCGGTCGGTGACAATCCCAAGCCTGGATGACCTTCCACATCAACAGATCATGACCATGTCGAGAGTTGGTGCTGTGACCCGTGGAAATCAACTTTTACCTGTTCGAGAAATTGCTGACAATGTGGGCATCAGCGTGGGAGCCTACCATCAACTACTAGCGCATTTGAGGGATGCTGCGCGCAGGAAGGTGTCTGAACTGTGGGAAACCCAGACGTGGATGGTACATCATAACAATGCGCCGGCTCGCACATCACTCCTTGTCCGCAGCGATATAGCAAGACGTCACACTCCCGTTGCGCCCCATTCCACCGTCGACTCCGGACCCAGCCCTTGCAGACCATTTTCTGTTTCCCAAACTTAAAACCAAGTCGAAAGGACGATGTTTCCAAAACATAGATGAGATTCAGGACAATGCGACAACAGACCTGCGCTCCATCCCCGAAAGTGCGTTCCAAGGGGCTTTCCAAAAATGGAAGCACCGTTGGGAACGGTGTATTACCAGTAGAGAGGACTGTTGTGTGTGGGAAAGTGTCTAAAATAATGCTCAATAAGCAATGTAGATGTCAAAGCAAAAGATCTTTTTTCCTTTTGAACATCAATCGTATGTGACTGATGCAACTTTACTTCGCAGTTCAATGTTTAGCGTCATGACACGCACTTCCCGTCTCCCTTATAATATTCGCTCTTCCTTACGGGAAGTTTCGGAAGCTTGCTTTTTTGCTCAGAAACAACTTCGGTGATGCTACATAACTGGTGGCGCCGGAGCTCAGATTGTGGTTGCGCGGCTACTCAAACAAATCAAGAAAGTATATGGAAGGTTTCAAGAGATGTTCATTCTGCAACATTTGTGCAAAAGGCTACAAGAAGGCCAGCTGGTCTAGGCTGACTTTCGACTCCAAGTCAATCAGGTTGTGTGCAACAGCATCGAAAATATACTCTCATTCATTCGTTATGCATGTTAGCTAGAGGTGGGAAGTACCTCCGCTACTGTGCTGCAATTCATAAAAGAAAATAGGGAAAGAAATGCAACACGTGCAAGCCAGCTTAGCTACTGGTAACCGATGGGCATGGTTCAGATAAGCAATCAGCCGCCTAACATGCAGCAAAAAAATTAACATGCAAACTTATATAAGGCTAAATAAGGAGATGGTGGTTGGAGTGGAAGGTTAAGAAGGACGGGGTGGGACAAAGAAACTCAGAGCATGAACGTCACTGAGGTCGGCTCCTAGCCATATCAGCAAGTGTATACAGCCAACCGTGTTCACCGTCTTTCAGACCCCAACCAGTGAGCAGAGACGCTCCAACCGAGGCCAGCTCAGAAGTCAGGGCCTTCATTTCTCTCGACCAAGTCATCGCTTGATCACCCCTCCTCTTCTTCCATCCACAACCCCGGCGCGCAAACAACGCACTTCGCGGGAGTCGGTGGGCTGGCATGCGTAACACGTGGCCGAGCCATCGGAGCCTAGTGCTTGAAATAACGGTGCTGAGCGGTTCAGTTCCTTTTCCTGTGCCGTAAACAAGGCGTCAAACACGCTCGTTACTCACGCGGTGTTTTCACCAGATGTGTGCCAAACTGCGAAGGCACCGGTGGTCGAACGTAACCAGTTTCTTTATGTCCGGTGATCTAAGGGGCCAGGTTTCACAACCGTACAGTAGGGTCGAACGTACCGCTGCATTGTACACTCTACCCTTCAGGGCGAGAGTGATGTCGCGCCGCCGCCATAAGTGTCGAACGTTAGCAAAAGCGCCTCGAGCTTTTTCTATACGGTTCGTGATCTCATCTTCAATCCCACGGGCACTGCTACAACTTCCCAGATAGTTGAATTTTTGAACGACTTCTAGCTGATCCCCACCAAGGGTCAGCGTAGGAGGTGGTCCACGCCAATCTTGGAGGAACGCTTTGCACTTCGATGGTGCGAAGCAAAGCCCGAAGTGACGGACAGCCAGTGCTAATCTGTCTAGTGCCGCTTGGCACGTCTGGGAGCAGTCAAAGATTAGGGCAATATCGTCAGCATACTCCAGGTCAAGAAGTCCTTCTCCTGGGAGCAGATCCACATCTTCTTAGTCATGTTCTGTTAACACGATTTCCATTACTTCGTCAACAACGCACTTGAAGAGGTAAGGTGACAGCGGGCATCCTTGTCTCATGCTGCTGGAGATATTAAATGGCGATGACAACTTGCCGTAAGTCCTCACTCTGCCTGAGCTACACGCGTATAATGATCGGACAATATTTACATATTTCTCAGGTTCACTTTTCCTGTGTAGACAATCCCAAAGTGCAAGTCTATCCACCGAATCGAATGCACCTTTGACATCGAGCAACACAACAACTTTGGGCCGCCAATATATGTGACGGTGCTCCAACAACTGACGCAAGGTGAAGATGTGGTCAATGCATCCCCGACCTCGACGAAACCCGGCTTGCTGTTTACGAATATGGCTTTCACCAGTGTCAGTCAATCTGTGAAGGATGACAGAGGCAAGCAATTTGGACTCGATAAAGATCAGGTTGATTCCTCTATGGTTGCCACATTCCGATCGTGAGCCTCCCTTGAAAATTGGGACTATGACGGAGCGGCTCCAATCGGTTGGGACAGTTTACTGCTCCCACAGTTTGACTAGTAACTCTTGTAAATCATCCACAAGAGCAGGTCCCCCGGATTTGAAGTGAGCTGGATGAAGATCAACTGGTCCCGCGGTTTTATTTAAGTTCAACGTTGCGATCTCACGTCCGACTACTGAGCGAGAGGGTGGATCCAAAGGAACAGCCCACGGAGCAGGGCGATCACTGGTCGGCGAGAAATCTAACAATTCCGACCGATTAAATTGCCTTACAAAGTGCTCAGCCCAACGTTCCAAGCGTTTTGATAAGTTGTGGATGGGCGGTCCACTTTCGTCACGTATAGTTTCACTAACACCAGGTCTCCTGCTGCCCGTTTCCCGTGTCATACGGAATAAATCTCAATGGTTACCAAGGGCGGCGGCCATTTCCATCTCTGTTGCACGGTGAGACCACCAGGATCCGCGGTCTCCGTTCAGGCTAGCGCGGAGTTTTGCCCGGAGCTCTTGGCAAGTTTCATTGTGTTGGCTTCCAGTCGGAATATGCCGGCGAGCATCGATAAGTTCCAGAGACTGTGAAGAGACCCAATGTCGATGTTGGCGATTAGATATGCCACATGAGGATTTGCCTGCTGCTAGTAAGGTCTGGTGAGTATGAGACCAGTGAGCTTCAACCGCATCTAGTGAGCGCTTATTCAACTCGCATGACAGCGTACTTTGGTAGGCATTCAGAACAGCTGGTTTCGCCAGTTGGCTGGTGTCAATGTGCTCACAACATCGTCTTGGGCATTTGCCAAAGCGCATCCGTAGATCATCACATACAAGTGCATGGTCGGTGTCCACACCTGTGCTCCAAATCGAGCGACAATTCTGGACGCAGCCTCTCCAGCGGTAACTTATCGCAATGTGATCGATTTGCGTCCATAGCTGGTTCGATGCTGGTGGACACCAAATCACCCTCCGGCGGGTGCTCTGTCGGAAAGTTGTGCTCTCAGGAAATAAGCGAGCATCTTTACACAAATGAAGTAACTGCTCACCGTTTCCATTATCGGAGCCTACACCGTGCTGACCGCCCGGATGCAGTTCACCAGTGGTACTTTCTAACTTGAATGTTCATATACCCAACCAGCACAACAGTGGCCGAGCTTCTTCTGTGACGAAGGAGCTCGTTTAATTGGCGATAGAAGTCACCTCTCACTGAGTCATCGCTAGAGTTTGTGGGTGCATAGGCAGCGATGACGAACAGACATCTATTAGTCCAGCGCGACTTCGAAGCTTGGAACGAGTCAACTAATCAGACTGCACGCATCCGGCTACTGATTAGAATCTACTCAACCAAATCAGCTTTAGCCCGGGGACTCAAGGTAATACCAACACCGACTTGGCTGGTGCTCGAAGCTGCTTCGTCACCAAATAGGCACAATGAGAAAGTGCTGCTGGTGTCTCCTGAAGTGGATCGCAAAGTGAGCACAGAGCTCGATTCTTGCAGGCGGGTCTCCGATGAGCAGCAGTTATCGATCGAGAGGGTCTCTAATGTTCGGGCGAGTGCTGCCTGTTGACCGATTTGTAGCAGTGTGCATACACTGAGACACGCCAATCTAAAGCATGATCGAGGGCTCCAAATCGAAGTTGATGAACTGGGCTTCGTTGTTTGGTTGGACATGGGCTTGTCGATAGTACAGGAATGACGCTCCGCGTTCACATGTGAGTTGAAACTAGAAGGTAAAAGCCTAGCAAAGCAAGGTGGGGAAGCCAAGAATTGGGGGGTTGAAAACACGGGGATAAATGTGAAGCTGGGATGGGACGGTAGGAGGGAAAAAGCGTAGAAGGAGGAATAAGAAGAGGGAGGGCTTGAGCAGTAGCATCCATGCCCCTATCCACCTTGCTCGATGCAGCAGATAGGACACCGTTGATTATCCTCTGCGGTGGCCAGAGCATCAAGTAACTGTTTGAAGAGAGATTTATTGTATTGCGTGGGCAGGATAATGTCAGGGTTCCCAGGCCTAGACAGCAAAACAATTAGGGTTCTCAACCAAAGCCTTTTGTTCAAAAACCTGACCGCAAGATATTAGGTTTGGCGTTGGGCTACAAGGAGTCCAGTTTAAGGAATAAGGAACCACCTCATTCCAACCCCCAACCTGGAGGACAAGGAAGCTGAGATTTTCTGGCCTCTAACCATTGACCAATTTTGTATGAGTGACTCTAAAGATGCAAAAAAGCACCACCCAGCATAGCTCAATGGATCGCTGAGGCACACAAACCACCGCACCACGGTGAGGTCCAGCGTCATTACGATGGACTACCATTCTTACTATATTTAAACGATATCTTCGACATAGTCAAATTCGGTACACCATACCGGTTTCCCAATGAAATCAAACTCGTAAAAGCTTTCCGTCCTGATGCCTGTTAAATGGCGCCTGGGATACTAGTCGGTAATCAAGGACATGTGAGAGCCGCGTCAGATACTGGACATTACAGAAGTTGGAGACGACTGAACCCAACATGTAATGTGCAGGCTACAAAAATAGGAAGGAAATCAACCGGAGCGAGAAACGGTGGAACATGATACTCAACAAAACGCTTTTGTGTCAACGGAAGTGCTGTCAGTAAAACAAGTGGACGTTTTGAAGGCTAAAACAACGGTGACATCCAATGTTGCTAATTACTGAAAGAGCGTCTTTTCCGGTACGCTGCATGCCTCCAATGATACCAGCAACATGATCCAAATCGACCTCCATATGCTTGAAACTTGGTGCTGAAAGTGGAAAATGTCTTTCTACACAAAGGAATACAGTGCAAGATATTACATGTGCGATTTAACTCTTCACGGCTAACCAGTTAATCTGTGGTACAATACAGAAACTGAGATTGTGATATGCATGTCTACTTGACTTCTGTTAACAAGTAGCTTATGTAACCGTGAATGCAAGGCAGAGCGTTGAATTTATATTTACGACTTTTTCTGCAAAAGTCTGAATCTCACTTACTAAATCAAAGTTGGATTAGCGTTCAGTGGCGTACATAGGTTCAAAATAGTGAAACCGCAGTGCAATTGAATAAGTGCAGAACGCTTTCGCAAAGCGTCTTCTATGTGCTTCGTCATAACCGGGAAATTCTGAACGATGTGATAAGGTCAAACTTGATCCGCTCTGGCCACGGCACATGAATCAAAAGCCGGTCATATTTTTCAACATCTTGCACAAAAACTACACATTTCTAACCTAAACATGGCATCAACATAATCAAACGTTTACAACACACGGAACCAAGAGAACTCAGTTGGAGAATGCAAGTCTGCGGAAATTTCCTTTAAAGGGTATTCTAAAATCGGGAACAAAGTACCAGCCGCAGTATTTTCCTGCACTCTCGAGTACAAATTTCGCAAAAACGTCAACAACTTATTAACTATACAGAACCTAATCAAACTATTCTGCATTTCGATACCAAGAAAGAAAGAGTATGAGCAGGGTCCAGGTTTCACATGACCCAGTAATTCGTTCCCCACCATCCTCTCTTATGTTTGTGGGCGACGGTGCCTCATGTCGAGGTTGATGTTGAACACATCATGTTTCTTCACCGCAGTTGGTCTACACCGACTTACCCTTCTTAATCTGGATAGCAAAATCTCACTTTACTTGCTTTGCTCAGTTCTGTTATTCTGATGAATGTTCCGGGTTAAGTTAGCGCACATATTTTCCTACAAATTCTGTCCTGTGGACGCCGCAGCGATAGAGAAATCTGGATCTACATGCTGCCGACCAATCATGTGGGAGCGAGATTGAAGTTTATCGAACATCGATTCATACCAGTCAGCGATTTGGTGTCATTTATGTACTTCAAAACCTCATTATCCGATCTGATATTAATTTACATATTCCATCTGCGATCAATGCTGTATAAAAGAATGCTTGTGTCGCATCGTTTATATAGCAGTTAATTAGTAGTAGTTGTTGTTGTGTACCTAAAATGATCGAAGCAGCGGTAGAAACCCGTACACCACACGATACACCCACATCCACCATTGGCTTGAACTGACTAATTGCGTGGTCTCTGCAATCTCATACGTTTTCCTCTCATTCGGGTGACAGACTCTCCGTTATTACTTCTTTAATTGCTTACAGATATCTGGCCCATGTGACGTCTCTAACTTTGACAAGTATCCAGATCGCATGGAAAACGCACCAGATGAACTTTCCGGTTGGGACGCAGACTTTTAACCGCTTCACTATTCCGAAGACGGGCTAGCTGACTCTCGGTCAGGTATCCGGGGGATGGATATGTGTATTCACCTCTACCCACTTTCTACATGCTGCGCGGACTCAAGGCGGTCCACCACGCCACATTACAGTGTCACATTGATGGCGCGTGGACATAAGCCCGCAGTCTACTAGATCTATCCACCTTCTTCCTACCGCATGTTTGTTTTCCATTTGCTTCCAACCTTGTTGACATCTTAACTGTTTATTTATTGTCCAGATCTAAAGAGCACAGACGCTCTGATTTGTGTACACCTAGATACAGAAAGCAATGCCGTTCTATTTTACCAAAATGGGTTGCTTCCCTTATAGCCACTTACGAGGGGCACAGTCCCACCATTGTTGCCTTACTTGCCAGAACCCTGTCTACTGACCACCTCATCTAGTGTACATATACCTCTTCCACGTGGACAATAACTATTACCCTTTACGAGTGTTAATACATCTGGTGTGCGATTGAACACCTCTTGTCCTTTTTCAAAGGCTGAGTTTTATTGATGCTAGAAATCACAGTACCAGATGACAATAAGGTTCGTTTTGTAGGCATTGCGAATACTACAAGACGTTCAATGTTGGATGCTCGCATTATTTTTGAAGGTGATTCTGAGGTACAAGTTTCTGAATTAGAATAATGAGTAGGGGATTTGCTGCAAATAATTAGTGCTTCTTCACAGCCGCCTCCAAATCAGATAATACTCAACTGGACAAGAAAATCACCAACCGGCCGCTTCTTTCTGTCGGGACTTATCCGCATTGCATGTCCATCGGCTCCATCCGAATGCGTACCCATGACTAATAGCGATTTGTGCCACAAGCTAATGAGTGCGAACTGCTGACCAGCGCCGACAGGAGGAAAAGAACATTTAGTGCTTTTCCGGACGTGTGCAGTGCGATCTGGTTTGGGATGGTATACAAAAGAAACCCTAATTACTTTGTAATACGCCTGGGCTTGCTTCATCTACAGTATAACTGTGAAGGAAAGTCACACGAGTGCGCAGCAGAAGTTATCGCCGTCTACTAATAAATAAAAATTAATAAATTTGTATATTTACCGACAGACGGTACACGGCTCCATAAGTGGGAGCGATCATTTGTATAGTGAATACCTTTCATAGCAGTAAAGAAAAGTTTATTGATTGCATTTCGGATCATGATTATTTTTCCTTGAGTCCTAGACCCGTTCAACTCATATGTAAAATTTACGGATGTTTGTATCGTCAGGAGTAGATAATGAAGGAAGGGACTACTAGGCTGCAAAGACACAGGATTTGGTATGGTTTGTAATGACATGTAATGGGTAAGCTAGTTGTAAGCGAATATCTGCTCATATGTCTTCTACACCAGCTTCTGTGAATGTTTCTAACATTTGCTGTTAGTTAAAGGTCTAGTGAGGAACGTGACATGGCTTGTACACATGCGTATCTGTAGTGGTAGTTTGTTCCGCAGATTAGTGTATATCACTAAGAAGAAATTCGACCGAGTTTTATTACTTGAAAGGTTTGTACTTATCAAGTAGCCGCCATTACGTGTGGAGTAGAATGCAATCTTTCGTAGTTCTAGTGCAGCGCTGTCTTCGTAAATTCGTTGGTTTATAATATTGTAGAAGAGAACAGGTTGTTTTTAAGCGTCTCAGCAAAAGTGGATCCAGCTGGAGTTTTCGACAGCGATCATAATAACGCAGGTTTGAGCAGCACCCCATGAGCAACTTGGTAAATAATCTTTGGACATTTTCCAGAGCCGTTCTGTCTTTCTTTCTCAATTGTCTGTGAACGATAGTACAATATTGCATAGTCGGTCGTACTATTGTCTTGAATGACTCAAGTCGGGCTTCTGGTAGGGGGAAAGTTCTGGTGATCTATCCGCATAACTCACTTGCTTTCGCAACCTGATAAAGAACGTGTTCAGAGAAATTGAAAGAGTTGGAGTATCTAATTCCTAAGTCCCGAACTGAAGCAGACATTGGGATCACGTTTCCGGCATGTATGATGGAGCCTTCTGGAATGCGGCATCTGTACCCAAGTACTTTGGATTTCACTGCGGAGAACTTTATTACTAAACGCACACTAGCTATATTTAGTGCGGATAGGTCTTCACCGATGTTCCCCAAACATATATGTAGTTGGTCTGGATGAAATGAGTAAACAGGTTTGATATCGTCTGCAAACAGAAATGAGTGTCCATATTTGCTCAAGTCACATTGGACATTCGAAGGACAGATACTTCAGCCCATTTGGGAAGTGCCGGGCGAGTGAGCCAATCTGCAAAACCAGGACAGGTACTGTGAGCCCACTGGCAATACGTCGCGCACCAAGCAGAAGTCATGTGTTAAAATTGGCACACCTAATCGTCAGCCCTCGGTAGCTCAGTGGCAGAGCAGCGGACCGGAAATTCGTGGACTGGGGTTCGATTCCCCGTCGAGGCACATTTTTGTGCGTGAACTTTAATGGTGACTTCTACTTTCTACAATTTTTACCCTACTCACTGCCCTGGAAGACGCCGCTGGTTATTTGTTTCAGTGTAGATTGTTGCTGACCGATTTTAACGACCTGAGTTCGACCGTTGAGATATGAGTCGAACCAGTTAAGCAGCGGATTTCCAATTCCATATGACTCTAGAGCAGACAGCAGTGGCTGGTGTGGCACGCTGTCGAACGCCTTTTGCAGGATGACCGCAATCGGATCCAACTGATTTTGAAAGACCCTAGTCGCGTTTGCCACCATATGAAAACTTGGCTACAACATCAAACTGAGGGACCACTCACTGAAACTGACCACCTAAAACAGGCGGCTGGAACGCCGCTGGAATTTTTCTCTCAGCATTTTTCGGCAGTAGAACACTGTTCCGACTTTTGTCCTTTCTTCCCCCATGTCATCAAATAGTTATTCGATGATGCATCACATCGTACACATCACCTGATTTAAAACTTTCACTCACTGAGTGCCGAGAAGACACAGAGAAAAACATTGTGTTCACAAGGTACCACGGAATGTTGTAGACGGATTTACGAGTGTGTAACGTGGATAAAGTAGAGGGTCAACAGGTGCACGTTGCACTTTGCTGTCACCTTTTTAAACTTATATATTTCACACAAAACGTTTCTTGACATTTTATTCATTAAACACTTGTTCCATTTGAAAAGCACGGTAAGAAGATGAAAACTGGTAGATGCATGCATTTCGTATTGTCTCCTCAGTACCATTAACAATAACCGCTATGCAATTATATACTTAAACATGTGTGTGACCGAATAAGCATGGGGTGCAAAATGAATGACGGAAGTTTCACCCCCTATGTCCACGGCAGTCTTAAGCTGATAAATAATTGCTTTTGAACACACAGGGCCGGCTTCATCCGGCTTATCGCAACGGCCTCGGCGAACCGGAGGAAGCGGGGATTAGGGTGACGTAATACAAGTGTGAACGCTGATCCAAGCTCTATCGGGTGACGCGTAGTCAGTAGGTGTTTACCTATTGAGGAAGCTGGCGGCTTGCGCAAGCACGGAGCTTCAGTGGGACAGGGATGCTGGTCAATTTCACGTTGAATCCACCTTGGCACATGTTTCTTGTTCCTTGTTCCATTGTTCGGTTAAAGTTATTGAGAATCCCTTATTGCAGATGGGCTGGAAAACACTCTGTTCGTATCGTTGGTGGGCAATAGCAAGTATAACGAGCGCCGGGTAGTTATTCCGAACGTTTGCTTTATCCATAAGCTCTGCAGTTGTTCAAGACAAATTTGCTGGCAGCGATCGCAAGGTGGTCCAACTTTCCTCCGAAAGACGATACTCTGATCCCACCGCGACTCAATCTGCAGTACTATATAGACTATACAAATTTGTACACTTAGATTCGTTTTCAACCGTCCTGAAATCTTTGCATTAAGGCACCTTCTTCCTGACGAATGACGCACAATTGGCTACTGATTAAGTCTACAGGAATGTCGGAAGTTGTCTGAATTCTCGTGTCCCATTTGGGTATCGGCGCTTTCCGGGTAAAGCAAAATCAATCTACACTCCAGATAAATTTGTAAATAAACGCACGAAGCTTCGCAGTCGTTGTTTGAAAAGAAAGACTTCTCCCTTTTATTGCAACAACAGAAAGTCATTGCTGAACTCGAACAATGTAGGCAAAACAAGTGCATGCCTGGAGCAAGGAATGCACTCAGCAACAATAATAAAAATAGTAGTAAAAATCCCATTGATAGATGAAAACGCAATGTTACCAAGCGCACACAGGTTTCGGTATTTCTTCCTCAGGCTTGTACAATTATATGCATATATATATACATATATATATATATGTATATAATTCTACAGGCGGGAGAGCCTATGGTGCGCTGAGGCTGGTGGTGGCTAGATCCTGACAGATGGTCTACCCACGGCTGCTACTGTTGCGCCATATTCTCATGTCCTGGGCGCCTCCTCGTGGCGACTGCTGGGTGGGAGTTAGGTTTCGCCCTTCTCCCTGCTAAGATCCAGGACACCAGTCCGCATGAGTCAGCTAACTGACCATGTGCTAGACCCGCTGCCTTTCGGGTGTTCATTTAAGCGAAGACTTTGGCTGAGGACCCGAGTCGTTCTCCATTCAGGATTGGGCGCCCTGGCAGTATCCTAGTCCATCCTCTCCGGAGGTTAGGAAGTGGTCGATGGCCCACTTCCCGTAAAACCTAGCCATGGGAGACAACAGGTTACGGGTGATATTCTCAATGCTCGATTGGCGTAGAGCACGAGTGCCACGCATTGTCTCTGACGGTGGGAGGACACCTCCGGGTGTTCAATGGTTTGCTACTGCCCGCCTCAAGCCAGGCAGCCCCTAGTCAAATTGGTGCAAACCCGCCAAAAACCCACCTGCGTCTGGCCGTGGTCGCAGGTGCGTATCCTACTACGGTCGCAAAACATATGATAATTGTTCCAGAACCTCAAAGGCTGCGTGTGACGGCCGTCAAGCAGATCCCCATCTGTCTCTGCAATCACATTCCCGAGCTGGATCTGCTCTCCACTGCCTTGTGGGTCAGGCTATTGAGCCAAAGACTCCGGGCGGAGTCCCTCAAGCAAACCTCCAAACCACCCACTGCCTTGTGGGTCACGCTATTGAGCCAAAGGCTCCGGGTGGAGTCCCTCAAGAAAACCTCCGAAGCACAACGACCACCTCGCGTGCGATTGCCCACCAATGCAATCGTATGCCTGCGCGCAAAGCACTCAACATCGGGTGCTGGAACGTGCGCACACTACTGGACCGGAACTCGAGCGAGCGCCCGGAGCGACGCACTACACTGGTCGCAATGGAGCTGGCGCGCTACCACATCGATATTGCGGCGTTCAGTGAAACTCGGCTCGCTGAGCAAGGTAAGTTACATGAAGCAGGTGCTGGCTACACATTCTACTGGGTGGGGAACGCCGCCTCAGCACCACGTGAACATGGGGTCGGATTTGCAATATCCGATCGTCTGAATGGCCAGCTGGTGGG